ACAGATGGCCTCTGATAGCCATCTGGACAGTTAGCCTCTCTGATAGCCATCTGGACAGTTAGTCAGCCTCTGATAGCCATCTAGACAGATAGCCTCTGATAGCCATCTGGACAGTTAGTCAGCCTCTGATAGCCATCTGGACAGTTAGCCTCTCTGATAGCCATCTGGATAGTTAGTCAGCCCCTGATAGCCATCTGGAAAGTTAGCCTCTGATAGCCATCTGGACAGTTAGTCAGCCTCTGATAACCATCTGGACAGTTACTCAGCCTTTGATAGCCGTCAGGACAGTTACTCAGCCTCTGATAGCCATCTGGACAGTTAGCCTCTGATAGCCACCTGGACATTCAATCAGCCTCTGATAGCCATCTGAACAGTTAGTCAGCCCCTGATGGCCATCTGGACAGTTAGTTAGCCTCTGATAGCCACCTGGACAGTTAGCCTCTGATAGACATCTGGACAGTTAGCCTCTCTGATAGCCATCTGGACAGTTAGTCAGCCTCTGATAGCCATCTGGACAGTTAGCCTCTGATAGCCATCTGGACAGTTAGCCTCTCTGATAGCCATCTGGACAGTTAGCCTCTCTGATAGCCATCTGGAAAGTTAGCCTCTGATAGCCATCTGGACAGTTAGTCAGCTTCTGATAGCCATCTGGAAAGTTAGCCATCTGGACAGATACCCTCTGATAGCCATCTGGAGAGATGGCCTCTGATAGCCATCTGGACAGTCAGTCAGCCTCTGATACCCATCTGGACAGTCAGTCAGCCTCTGATAGCCATCTGGACAGTTAGTCAGCCTCTGATAGCCATCTGGACAGTTAGTGAGCCCTGATAGCCACCTGGACAGTTAGCCTCTGATTGCCATATGGACAGTTACTCGGCCTCTGATAGCCATCTGGACAGTTACTCAGCCTCTGATAGCCATCTGGACAGTTGCTCAGCCTCTGATAGCCATCTAAACAGTTGGCCTCTGATAGCCATCTGGACAGTTAGTCAGCCTCTGATAGCCATCTGGACAGTTATTGAGCCTGATAGCCATCTGGACACTCAGCTTCTGATAGCCATCTGGACAGTTAGCCTCTGATAGCCATCTGGACAGTTATTCAGTCTGATAGCCATCCTGACAGTTATTCAGTCTTATAGCCATCTTGACAATTACTCAGCTTCTGATAGCCATCTGGACAGTTAGTCAGCCTCTGATAGCCATCTGGACAGTTAGTCAGCCTCTGATAGCCATCTGGACAGTTAGTCAGCCTCTGATAGCCATCTGGACAGTTAGTCAGCCTCTGATAGCCATCTGGACAGTTAGTCAGCCTCTGATAGCCATCTAGACAGTTATTCAGCCTCTGATAGCCATCTGGACAGTTACTCAGCTTCTGATAGCCATCTGGACAGATATCCTCTGATAGCCATCTGGACAGTTAGTCAGCCTCTGATAGCCATCTGGACAGTTAGTCAGCCTCTGATAGCCATCTGGACAGTTATTCAGTCTGATAGCCATCTTGACAATTACTCAGCTTCTGATAGCCATCTCGACAGATATCCTCTGATAGCCACCTGGACAGTTAGTCAGCCTCTGATAGCCATCTGGACAGTTAGTCAGCCTCTGATAGCCATCTGGACAGTTAGTCAGCCTCTGATAGCCATCTGGACAGTTAGTCAGCCTCTGATAGCCATCTGGACAGTTAGTCAGCCTCTGATAGCCATCTGGACAGTTAGTCAGCTTCTGATAGCCATCTGGACAGTTAGCCTCTGATAGCCATCTGGACAGTTATTCAGTCTGATAGCCATCCTGACAGTTATTCAGTCTTATAGCCATCTTGACAATTACTCAGCTTCTGATAGCCATCTCGACAGATATCCTCTGATAGCCACCTGGACAGTTAGTCAGCCTCTGATAGCCATCTGGACAGTTAGTCAGCCTCTGATAGCCATCTGGACAGTTAGTCAGCCTCTGATAGCCATCTGGACAGTTAGTCAGCCTCTGATAGCCATCTGGACAGTTAGTCAGCCTCTGATAGCCATCTGGACAGTTAGTCAGCCTCTGATAGCCATCTGGACAGTTAGTCAGCCTCTGATAGCCATCTGGACAGGTAGTCAGCCTCTGATAGCCATCTGGACAGGTAATCAGTCTGATAGCCATCTGGACAGTTATTGAGCCTGATAGCCATCTGGACAGTTATTCAGCCTCTGATAGCCATCTGGACAGTTATTCAGCCTCTGATAGCCATCTGGACAGTTACTTAGCTTCTGATAGCCATCTGGACAGATATCCTCTGATAGCCATCTGGACAGTTAGTCAGCCTCTGATAGCCATCTGGACAGTTACTCAGCCTCTGATAGCCATCTAAACAGTTGGCCTCTGATAGCCATCTGGACAGTTAGTCAGCCTCTGATAGCCATCTGGACAGTTAGTCAGCCTCTGATAGCCATCTGGACAGTTATTGAGCCTGATAGCCATCTGGACACTCAGCTACTGATAGCCATCTGGAAAGTTAGCCATCTGGACAGATATCCTCTGATAGCCATCTGGAGAGATGGCCTCTGATAGCCATCTGGAGAGATAGCCTCTGATAGCCATCTGGACAGTAAGTCAGCCTCTGATAGCCATCTGGACAGATATCCTCTGATAGTCATCTGGACAGTTAGTCAGCCTCTGATAGCCATCTGAAAAGTTTGCCTCTGATAGCCATCTGGACAGTCAGTCAACCTCTGATAGCCATCTGGACAGATATCCTCTGATAGCCATCTGGACAGTTAGTCAGCCTCTGATAGCCATCTGGACAGTTAGTCAGCCTGTGATAGCCACCTGGACAGTTAGTCAGCCCCTGATAGCCACCTGGACAGTTAGCCTCTGATAGCCATCTGGACAGTTACTCGGCCTCTGATAGCCATCTGGACAGTTAGCACCCTGATAGCCACCTGGACAGTTAGCCTCTGATAGCCATCTGGACAGTTACTCGGCCTCTGATAGCCATCTGGACAGTTACCTAGCCTCTGATAGCCATCTGGACAGTTAGTCTCTGATAGCCATCTGGACAGATAGCCTCTGATAGCCATCTGGACAGTTAGTCGGCCTCTGATAGCTATCTGGAAAGTTAGCCTCTGATAGCCATCTGGACAGTTACTCAGCCTCTGATAGCCATCTGGAAAGTTAGCCATCTGGACAGATAGCCTCTGATAGCCATCTGGATAGATAGCCTCTGATAGCCATCTGGACAGTTAGTCAGCCTCTGATAGCCATCTGGAAAGTTAACCTCTTATAGCCATCTGGACAGTTAGCCTCTCTGATAGCCATCTGGACAGTTAGTCAGCCTCTGATAGCCATCTGGAAAGATATCCTCTGACAGCCATCTGGACAGTTAGTCAGCCTCTGATAGCCATCTGGACAGTTACTCAGCCTCTGATAGCCATCTGGACAGTTACTCAGCCTCTGATAGCCATCTGGACAGTTACTCAGCCTCTGATAGCCATCTGGACAGTCAGCCTCTGATAGCCATCTGGACAGTTAGTCAGCCTCTGATAGCCATCTGGACAGTTAGTCAGCCTCTGATAGCCATCTGGACAGTTATTCAGTCTGATAGCCATCTGGACAGTTATTCAGCCTCTGATAGCCATCTGGACAGATATCCTCTGATAGCCATCTGGACAGTTAGTCAGCCTCTGATAGCCATCTGGACAGTTACTCAGCCTCTGATAGCCATCTGGACAGTTACTCAGCCTCTGATAGCCATCTGGACAGTTATTCGGTCTGATAGCCATCTGGACAGTTATTGAGCCTGATAGCCATCTGGACAGTTATTCAGCCTCTGATAGCCACCTGGACAGTTACTCAGCTTCTGATAGCCATCTGGACAGTCATTCAGTCTGATAGCCATCTGGACAGTTATTGAGCCTGATAGCCATCTGGACAGTTAGTCAGCCTCTGATAGCCATCTAAACAGTTAGTCAGCCTCTGATAGCCATCTGGACAGTTATTCGGTCTGATAGCCATCTGGACAGTTATTGAGCCTGATAGCCATCTGGACAGTTATTCAGCCTCTGATAGCCACCTGGACAGTTACTCAGCTTCTGATAGCCATCTGGACAGTCATTCAGTCTGATAGCCATCTGGACAGTTATTGAGCCTGATAGCCATCTGGACAGTTAGTCAGCCTCTGATAGCCATCTAAACAGTTAGTCAGCCTCTGATAGCCATCTGGACAGTTATTCGGTCTGATAGCCATCTGGACAGTTATTGAGCCTGATAGCCATCTGGACAGTTATTCAGCCTCTGATAGCCATCTGGACAGTTACTCAGCTTCTGATAGCCATCTGAACAGTTAGCCTCTGATAGCCATCTGGACAGTCATTCAGTCTGATAGCCATCTGGAAAGATATCCTCTGACAGCCATCTGGACAGTTAGTCAGCCTCTGATAGCCATCTGGAAAGATATCCTCTGACAGCCATCTGGACAGTTAGTCAGCCTCTGATAGCCATCTGGACAGTTAGTCAGCCTCTGATAGCCATCTGGACAGTTACTCAGCCTCTGATAGCCATCTGGACAGTTACTCAGCCTCTGATAGCCATCTGGACAGTCAGCCTCTGATAGCCATCTGGACAGTTAGTCAGCCTCTGATAGCCATCTGGACAGTTAGTCAGCCTCTGATAGCCATCTGGACAGTTATTCAGTCTGATAGCCATCTGGACAGTTATTCGGCCTCTGATAGCCATCTGGACAGTTATCCTCTGATAGCCATCTGGACAGTTATTCAGCCTCTGATAGCCATCTGGACAGTTACTCAGCTTCTGATAGCCATCTGAACAGTTAGCCTCTGATAGCCATCTGGACAGTCATTCAGTCTGATAGCCATCTGGACAGTCATTGAGCCTGATAGCCATCTGGACAGTTAGTCAGCCTCTGATAGCCATCTGGACAGTTACTCAGCCTCTGATAGCCATCTGGACAGTTACTCAGCCTCTGATAGCCATCTGGACAGTAAGCCTCTCTGATAGTCATCTGGACAGATAGCCATCTGGACAGATGGCCTCTGATAGCCATCTGGACAGTTAGCCTCTCTGATAGCCATCTGGACAGTTAGTCAGCCTCTGATAGCCATCTAGACAGATAGCCTCTGATAGCCATCTGGACAGTTAGTCAGCCTCTGATAGCCATCTGGACAGTTAGCCTCTCTGATAGCCATCTGGATAGTTAGTCAGCCCCTGATAGCCATCTGGAAAGTTAGCCTCTGATAGCCATCTGGACAGTTAGTCAGCCTCTGATAACCATCTGGACAGTTACTCAGCCTTTGATAGCCGTCAGGACAGTTACTCAGCCTCTGATAGCCATCTGGACAGTTAGCCTCTGATAGCCACCTGGACATTCAATCAGCCTCTGATAGCCATCTGAACAGTTAGTCAGCCCCTGATGGCCATCTGGACAGTTAGTTAGCCTCTGATAGCCACCTGGACAGTTAGCCTCTGATAGACATCTGGACAGTTAGCCTCTCTGATAGCCATCTGGACAGTTAGTCAGCCTCTGATAGCCATCTGGACAGTTAGCCTCTGATAGCCATCTGGACAGTTAGCCTCTCTGATAGCCATCTGGACAGTTAGCCTCTCTGATAGCCATCTGGAAAGTTAGCCTCTGATAGCCATCTGGACAGTTAGTCAGCTTCTGATAGCCATCTGGAAAGTTAGCCATCTGGACAGATACCCTCTGATAGCCATCTGGAGAGATGGCCTCTGATAGCCATCTGGACAGTCAGTCAGCCTCTGATACCCATCTGGACAGTCAGTCAGCCTCTGATAGCCATCTGGACAGTTAGTCAGCCTCTGATAGCCATCTGGACAGTTAGTGAGCCCTGATAGCCACCTGGACAGTTAGCCTCTGATTGCCATATGGACAGTTACTCGGCCTCTGATAGCCATCTGGACAGTTACTCAGCCTCTGATAGCCATCTGGACAGTTGCTCAGCCTCTGATAGCCATCTAAACAGTTGGCCTCTGATAGCCATCTGGACAGTTAGTCAGCCTCTGATAGCCATCTGGACAGTTATTGAGCCTGATAGCCATCTGGACACTCAGCTTCTGATAGCCATCTGGACAGTTAGCTTCTGATAGCCATCTGGACAGTTAGCCTCTGATAGCCATCTGGACAGTTATTCAGTCTTATAGCCATCTTGACAATTACTCAGCTTCTGATAGCCATCTGGACAGTTAGTCAGCCTCTGATAGCCATCTGGACAGTTAGTCAGCCTCTGATAGCCATCTGGACAGTTAGTCAGCCTCTGATAGCCATCTGGACAGTTAGTCAGCCTCTGATAGCCATCTGGACAGTTAGTCAGCCTCTGATAGCCATCTAGACAGTTAGTCAGCCTCTGATAGCCATCTGGACAGTTACTCAGCTTCTGATAGCCATCTGGACAGATATCCTCTGATAGCCATCTGGACAGTTAGTCAGCCTCTGATAGCCATCTGGACAGTTAGTCAGCCTCTGATAGCCATCTGGACAGTTATTGAGTCTGATAGCCATCTTGACAATTACTCAGCTTCTGATAGCCATCTGGACAGATATCCTCTGATAGCCACCTGGACAGTTAGTCAGCCTCTGATAGCCATCTGGACAGTTAGTCAGCCTCTGATAGCCATCTGGACAGTTAGTCAGCCTCTGATAGCCATCTGGACAGTTAGTCAGCCTCTGATAGCCATCTGGACAGTTAGCCTCTGATAGCCATCTGGACAGTTAGTCAGCCTCTGATAGCCATCTGGACAGTTAGTCAGCCTCTGATAGCCATCTGGACAGTTACTCAGCCTCTGATAGCCATCTGGACAGTTACTCAGCCTCTGATAGCCATCTGGACAGTTAGTCAGCCTCTGATAGCCATCTGGACAGTTATTCAGTCTGATGGCCATCTGGACAGTTATTCAGCCTCTGATAGCCATCTGGACAGTTACTCAACTTCTGATAGCCATCTGGACAGTTAGCCTCTGATAGCCATCTGGACAGTCATTCAGTCTGATAGCCATCTTGACAGTTATTCAGTCTTATAGCCATCTTGACAGTTATTCAGCCTGATAGCCATCTTGACAGTCAGCCTGTGATAGCTATCTTTTTTATCCGTCCAATTTATTTTAAAATTCCAATTCATTATTTATGTACTTATTCAATAAAAATTATTTCGTGGTTTTATGCGTTGTGATACAGATCAGAATGATTGAAAATTTGACATGCAAGAAACGTCTGCTGTCTTAGCAAAATTTCCCTCATTGCACACTGTCAAAACTTCCAAAAATGATGAGGCTTATGAAATGAGAACAACAAAACTTCCCTTTTTAATCAAAATAACAAAAGAAAAACAAGAAAAGCACCAAGATTGGTCAAACTGTGATAACAAAAATCAAATTACCAATTTGTAAACAAACTCACAATGTCAAGCTACTACAAACTTTGTCTTATACCTTGACTGCATTCACCAACTTACTTGTATCACAGAGGTTGTTAATGCAGAGATTTGATGGATTGTACATTAGCGAATAAAGTTAATCAGAGTCCAGACTGCACAATTTGGCTGGGCCTGTAATCAAGGACTACGATTGGCTGTATTCGCTTATTTACAATCCAATCAAATCCCTGTATTTACATTCTTCCATGATACAAGAAAGGTGGCTATTGCTGTCAAGGTAATAGCTTGACCATTGCAAAGATAATATCAGTCTTCCCTTTAAAAAATACCCTGAAAAATGCATTTAAATAGCCCCTCACATACCAGTCTCTCAACAATAGATATAGTCTTGCAAGTACCAGTAGTAGAAAAAAGGGACAAACAAGATTAAGTTACTGTGACATAAACACGAACAGTCCACTATATTATTAAGTAGTGTGAGTAGTAAATGGCAGACTCAGTCAAGCTTGATCAATTTCAATTTCAAATTATACTACCCAAAAAAAGGTGGACTGTTCTTGCTTATGATTCGATTTTTATCCAGATGAGCAAATACCTTTGCTTTTCTATAACAATCTAAATTATTTTTGTATTCAAAACAAAATAAGAAAACCAGAAAAACAAGTTACCTGTAGTCCCTTGCATACAAGTCTTTCCACAAAGCTGGACTAGTCTTGCACATACAAGTATCCCCATCTACTTAAAGACACATTGATGAACTCATTTACACTTAAAGGTTATATCAATATTATTCAATATCTGTATCAATAATCACTTAAAGAAAATCAAATCAATCAAGCTTAAATCAAAGCAATAAGCTTATTACATTATTCTTAAAAATATCTTTATGAAATGCAAAGCCTGATTCTGTATATTTTTAATGGGTTAAAGGGATGATTTCATCTATTTATCTTCTTAATGAAAACATCACATCTTCATTTGCTATAAAAAAATATAGGGTAAGGCTGAACATTCCCTTTAATTCGTTGACCAAAATGGTTAAAGGAATTTAATCATCTAAATATTTACTTCAGTTGTCAAATTTAAAATGTAAGCTTAATTTCAGCCATATGTATCACTTTTCAAAATTGAAATGCAAATCCAATTCCAATACAATGCAATTTATCATAGTAGGCCCATCAATAAGGGCTGTATTGAGTGGACGAATATCTTGTCAGTCCATTTTCTGCCTTATATTTTGTGTTATCTACAGGAACACAATACATAAAGTTTAATTGATAATCTGAAAGAAAATATTTAGATGGCTATATCCCAAAACAAACAAAATATTTTAACATATTTACATCAAAAACAAAACCCATTTACACTTTATATATAACTAGCAAAATATTCCTTTTCATATAATTTACCTCTAAAGATGTAAGCAGATTTCGTTAAATGACTTTCATAGAAGCCTCAAATACAAAGAAGGAGCATTCACTAGATTAAGAGGTAGAAAGCTAGGTGTAAATATATTCATTGATCCCTCAAAAGACAAAAATAAATTCCAAAACAAATTCCCAAGTAAGTATTCATAGGATTTTTTGGGTCATCTTCACAATGTCAAGCTATTACTAACTCATTCTAATACCTTGACTACATTATGCTCTTTTGTTGTAACACAGAAGTTTGTGATTTGATCGGATTGTACTCTAGCAAATGCAGCCAATCAGAGTCCTCCACGACTATTAGTTCTTGGCTGCCTTGTAATCATATTTTGATTTACAGAAGTAAATGGTCTCAAAGTTCCATACAAATAACAAGAAAAAAGCTGAATGATGTCAAGGTATTAGACAAAGTTCGTAATAACTTGACACTGTGAAGATTTTTTTTTGGTCTGCAAGCTTCAGAAGACTCGTTCAAAATGTTGGTCAGTAGGTGGACGAGCTTGCTGTTGCTGTGGAATGTGACCACGCCTCCTAGGTGGCGCCAGGTACTCAAACATTGATTGGTTGTGCCTCGACAACATCACAGATAAATCCGAAGGGGCTGGATCTTCCCAGAAAAAATCGTGATTCAGCGATGTATCACAATCGATTCGTTTCGATGGATCAACATACAGCATTTTGTCCAACAAATCCAAAGCAAACTGGTCTCGGACGTAAGGCTTTAACCTTTCTTTCACCAAACGTTTCTGCCCTTTAGGGACTTCTAGTTTGTCGTAGAGATCTAGCTTTTCAACTCCAGGCCACACATCCGGTGTTAACGACCCACACAAATGGCTGATCAGGGTAATTTGATGTTGCTCTGTGTTGCCTTGCATTATGGGACTTCTGGTCCACATTTCTGCCATGATGCACCCAGCGCCCCACACATCTATCGCTGGCCCATAAACTCTTTCCCCTAGCAACAATTCGGGAGGCCGGTACCACAAGGTCACTACCCTATTGGTGTATTTCTGAGCACCCTTTTGAGTCATGCCGCCATAAGCTCGCGCCAATCCAAAATCAGCAAGTTTAAGGATGCCATTTTTGGTAATCAAAACATTTGCAGCTTTCATATCTCGATGTAAGATTTTGTTGTGATGAATGAAGTATAATCCATTCAATAACTGTTGCATGACGCGTTTGATATCAGCAAGCGTAAATTTAACGTTGACATTACTCAGCAAACCGGCCAAATCATGTTCACAGAACTCAAAGATGAGATAGAATGTACTTTTAAATCTGTTGTAAGCACCAGCTGAAAAAAAAAGAGAGAAATTAAGATAATTTCAGGAGGTTTTCTAAACTTTTAGGCCACTGATGGTATCCATTCCAATTTCAAAGGGATTGTAAAGAGGTTTTCTAAATTTTTCATGTTTTTTCCACTAAAACTAATGTGTTTTATGACGTCACCAGTGAGGAGCTACCAGAAGCTACTATTGATATCTATGCAGTTCCCCTCTAGTGATGTCATAAAATGTGTTAGTTTTAGTGGAATTGCAAGAACCAGAGATTGCAAATTGATGCTATCAGTGTCCCCGATAAACATAAAAAGTTTAGAAAACCTCTTTACAATCCCTATAAGACAGACATATGTGGTTCTTGTAATTCAAATGAAATGAAATTAATAAAGTTTTACGTCCTACTTTTCTGCACCATGTGGGCTAATGAAGACGGGCAACACCATGCAGGGTACATTGAGGGAAATTTTGTCAGGGCAGCAGCATTAGCCTGCTCTTTTTCAATTTCCAACTGTCGAGGTATCTTTAACGTGCACAGCCTGTGGCACACAGGGCCTCAGTTAATTGTCCCATCCAAACGACTACAGGCTTTTTCCATATCAGCCCCTCTTACCTGCATCACTGACAGGGGGAAACCGGGTTGAAAAATGCGAAGGTATCATCTCGACCTATGCCGGGATTGAACCCTGGACCTTCAGGTTAGAGAGCAAGCGTCTAACTCACTGAGCCACTGTGGGTCCCTCTTGTAATTCAACTAAAACTATGGTATTTTATGACTTCACTTCACATGAGATTGGTATTTCTAAGGGTTAATTACATACCTCTACTTCGACAAATCTCAATTAATTTTACAACATTTTCATGGCTTAATAACTGCAGAATTCTGATCTCCCTTAAAGCTGTGATTGGAAACTGGAAAAAAAATGTCAAAAAATTAAAGACAGAGGTAACCAGTAAAAAGGTTTATCTTATACATAATGGATTAATACACCCAAATCTAAAGGATTCTTGAAATGAAATGATGGGCGAATGAAGACCAATAAGGCCATGCAGTGTGCATTGAGGGAAGTTTTGCATATGCGTCATCAGTCTTCCTTACTTTCCTATTCCCTTGTCTAAACTGTAATATTATCTAACTTAATTGCACCATTGACAACATGTTGGCTACCCAAATCTACCTCATAGGCCTATCATCTTTGATGCTTACCCCTTCTTTTTCATTTTCCATCAAAACCTTTTTCATGGCAACTATTCGTTTAGTTTTTCTATCCCTGGCTTTGAATACTTCTCTGTAAAAGAAAAGTTAGCCATTAGGCCTAACTTACAGTAGGCCTACATTAAATAGGAACTTGGCAGCAGACTTTTGCATGACTTTAACAAGAACCTACAGATACTAGTTACCTGATACTGAACTAGATCTAGCAGACGACAATTCCACCTGCTGACAGCACAATAATTGCTAAAAGAAGATATCAATATGGAACTAAATAGAATTGCTGAATTGGCCTAAGACAGAACTCTCACTGGCTTAGAGCTTACAACATTGCTAAACTGTCAACAATTTATTTATGCAGAAATCAACTTTTTGGGGTCTTTGACTGGCAACAGGTGCAGTTCAAGTAGGAATTCATTCAGTGCAGTTGGTGCAAGAAGTTTAAGAATTGATTCTAACCCAAAAGTTCCTTGACCGATTTTAGTGAGTTTCTCATATTTCTCACTGGCATTTTCGCAATATGGAAATTCTAATTCTTCAACAATTTTTGCCTGCGTTGTCATTTTATTTCAAGTTTTTGTGTGTGATCCGTTCGTCTCCGTGAAATAAAAGGTTGAGCATTGTGAACTACGTCATCAATAGTTGTAAAGCGGTCGCTTAAAGCATTCATAATAAAGATATTTATCCAAATGTATGAAAAATGTTGGACTTTCTTCGATTTCCTGACCTTTATCTATCTAAAAACCATATTAATAGCCATCGAATCACAAGAAAAGACAGTTGATTTCCTAATTATTTTTATTAGTATTTTGTTCATGATTTAAGCGATATTCTAAAAATAGAAGCATAGCGTCGTTTTTCCAGTACTAAAAATGTTTTAGCAATATTTCATTTGAAAATTAGAACTGGATAATCTAATTTATATACGTATGACGTAGTACACACGGAAATGGCTTTTTATAAATCGTGAACAAAACAAATCTTACAAAATAAAAAATCTATTTTAACTTATGCTTGAGAAATAGATAAAGATTCAAAATGCCGAAGGTGGTGTCCAAAAGTGTCGTCTGCACGGACACCAAAGATCAAGAAGAATACCAAGGAGAGAAGCCGCTCTATGTGTATTATTGTATCTGTGGGCAAATGTCCCTCATTTTAGGTAATGACCCCCCCCCCCCCCCCCCCCTCCTTTCATTTTGACTGCCACTAATACACCGTAATAAACTAATTAAAAACCTGTTAATCTTTATCAATTATTGTGATGGATTTGTTTCAGATTGTCCAATGGAGAAGTTACCATTAAGAAAACGAGATGGTGCCAGAGTTATTGATGGCCAGAAACATGCCAATAAATTAAATTGTGAACCAGACAATATTATTTACCTTCGCAGGTATTTAATATTTTAAAACTCTGTCCCAAACAATTTCCTTAAGCGAAGTTCCAACAACCACAAAAATCTGATATGTAAACATTCAATGTACCAGTACTTGCATTATTATAGGCTATTAAAATAATATAGAACATAGAAGATTGATTGGGTGATTTTTGAACAAAGTTGTTACCATGTTTTATTTTATGATCTATTTTTTCAGACCTGAAGGAATTGAAAAACAATACAGACAGAAATGCAAAAGGTACCGTATGCATTTTAAACAGTGATTTTTGTGGTTTCTAAATCAATAATTGTAATGTCAAGGGCAATAACAGTACATAAGAATATTTAAAAGATTCTAAAACAATTTTCTTATTGTAGATGAACCAGATGTCTTATTTGCATTCTGGAAAGTGATAAGGATAATATGTGAAATTTAGATCTGGCAACCTGTAATTGAAATATTAAAAGAATTATACCCTTTGAAGCTATTTGTGAAACTCTTTGACCACAACATGAGCTAGTAAAAATATGAATATCTGTATTATTTCAGATGTGGTCTATTTATCTGCTATCATCACCAAGGTAACAGTAATATAATATTTGTGGTAGATGGAGCATTAAAACTTGAGAGTGAGGGAGTGAAGAAAGATATTTATACTCAGTTAGCTAAACCACAGAAGGTAGGTCCATGGCAATTATTCCAGATAACTGTCACTATTCAGTGTGCAATGAGGGAAACAGTGGCACTTTGTCTTAGATTTTTTTTTTAGTATTTTTAGCGTTGAAAAAGACACTTTTTGAAAAGGTTTATTTCATTTTTTAGGTCACATTAACAAAACACACTAAAAACATGGGTAAATTTAGTTCTGTTACCGTGTCAACCATAGATGAAGAGGAAGATGAAATGGAGGCTGTAAGTAGAAATAGTTTGTGTTGAATGATAAATGATCAAAATTGCAATGTCATCACAACTTCACCTTAATGGTGTTCAGTCATGTGCTAAATTTGTCATGAGTAATAGTGAAATTGGGCAAAGAGAGGCAAAAATTATAATTTTTTCAATGGATAGAAAGAAACATTTATTTTCACATGTAGGTTTTCTATCAGCTGGTCCTTGACACTTTGTATGGCAAGAAAAAAACAACTAACTTTCACAAGGATCCTTTCTACCCGCTGGTTCTTGGCCAAACCTCTTGGCATTGATCTTTCTGCATTATCTGTAAGCTTACCCATTCACAGCTGAGTTGACTGGAAATACCAAGGCAAAAGATTTTTGTGATAATAATGCCATCAACATCATCCAGCAGGCTTCACTGAAATTCTAATTAATGTATTTTGAAATTTTCTCCTTGCAGAAAGAAATTGCCGATTCCTACGCTGCCAATGCTAAAGTTATAGAGAAACAATTATTACGTAAAGGAATGAATAAACGTAAACTGTTAGAACAGGCTGAGGAAGAGTCTAAACGTAGACCCAAAGGAACTTTAATTGATAAATAGAGACCCAAAAAACATTGTAGACATGGAAAGTGATAATGAGCCTTTGTATCTGGATGATCTGGTCTATCCGAGATTTTTCTGTGAGGTTACTCTTTAGATGGTACTTTCTTTAGTAAAAGACCATGGTTCACCATTTCTGTGGGTTGAATTGGCCCTGAATATATGTTAAGTTTTCAGAAGTCGCAGAACTACACGAGTCTTGTCAAGTTTACCTTCAATTAGAATTTCACGTTCTATTTCTTTATTTGACGGAGTCTCAAGAAAAGACGAGTCATCATTTTAACTTTCAAGCGCAATTAATTCAAGACGCACACGGATTTGAAGGCTCAAATTTCGACGATGAGCTGTTAACACTATTACTGATTAGCTTGGCTAAAAAATTCCCTTTTCTGAGACTAAGGTATGATTGGTTTAACGAATGGCGAATCTGTCCCTTTACTTTGGGGGTAGCGTTGGTAAAAATGGGTGATATTCACCGCAGGGACATTGTGGTTATTCAACATAGGAATGACGTCAAATTTTAACACTCTAACTGACATGGCTACAGTCTGCCCTTAAAGATTATAGATCCCATAATTGGATTTGTATGTATTTTAGGCATTGAAAATAAACATTATGTTCAAATCCTATGTTGATGGCCAAGTGGACAAAAAAAAGACAAATTTATGTTGTATATATATATATTGTAAATGATATAAAAAAAAAAGCTACATTAAAATTTGTACAATAAAAATTATCACAGAATTTATGAAATAGATATAATTTTGGCAGAATTCACAGAAATCAGTTCTGGAATTACAGACAATAGTGCCAGGAACATCATGCATGACATTGCCAGGCAAGTTCCACAAGCATGGAATGTCATACAGGATCTTAACAGCATGGTTTTGGCGTAAGTCTCAAGATCAACAAGATCTCTCAAGGGTACACTAGTCAGTTGACATCCAACCTTCTGATCTACATATCCCCTCCTGGTAAAACATAAAAATCACAGTCAGAATCACAGACTTTCAGAATTCCAAATGGAATCGCAATTAAAAAATATAAAAATTAATACTGATTATAAAGATGGAGATCAAGATCATATCAAAGCATGAATCTAAAACAGAGTGGTTCCCCTTGGGATACGCATTATTTTATGTTTTCCTATTTTCAAGTGCGTCCTTGACAACTATATAGCCTTCAAATACCCAAGAACATTTGGACGTAAGAAAATCTAGAAATGGCCAATCAAAAATGTATCAGATAGCACACTTATGTCGGCAGCCATTTTGTTTAACACTTAAAGACAAATTTTTAAAAGTTTCAAACTCGGATGAGGCTTGATTTGCGAGTTCTGTGTGATTAAAATTCATGGAATGAACTGGAATTTAAGAGACAACAATGTTCCATCTGCACCAATAAAAAAAGGTGTAGATAGATTTCAAAATGGCGGAGAGAGGAATAGAATTGTAAAATTTGAATGTAAAATATCTACTAACTACTTCAAATGCCATAATTTGGAATAGAACAGGTGCATGGCAGCGTAAAATTTTCTCTAAATGTGGATTTTTTGATAAATTGGGCCACTTTTTTGTTCCTATTTCATCTGTAAATGAAACTGGTTGCATTGATATTACAATAAATATAGTCTTTGTTATCTGGCATTCACCGCCCATGACTGAGATAGTCTCACTGAATCTGGCTCATTTAGGTGTTTTGAGTTGAGGGTACGAACTTGTGGCTTTTTTGGGGTTATTCTAAAATAACAAAAATTACAAGATTCTATTCTATGAAAGGAATGCTCACTGAGTTGAGAAACCCAGTTGCAAAGAGGCAAAGGTGGTTTGGTTATTTTCTAATATATCATGGGTAATATCATCACTTCCCCTTATGTATTGTTTTTATCAAATTGTACATGGAAAGGATTTCTGGTGTTCATTTTGAAAAGGTATACGCATAGCTGAAATCTCAGCCCGAAGAGCAAATATTTAGACTGTATGTCATTTGAAGCTAAGAATCTTCATGAAAGCTGAACGAAAAATAAAAGTAACTCACTTTTCTTGTTTGATAATCTCTTGACTGGCTATTGTAATTAATTCATCTGAACATTGACCTTTAGCTGACCCTCTCCTGTTGATTGGTGATTTACCTCGGTTACCACTGTGATTACGAGTCAAGGATTCCAACCTTCTACCTGGATAACCTAATATAAAATTCAAATAAATGAAATAGATATAGGATGCAAGTGAACAGTTGGTTATTTCAAGACGCAGCCTTAGGTCTTACTAATGCCTGTAGATTTCACTATTTCGTGTTGGTTCTATGTCCTGTGAGAGTTATCTGTCCTTGTTAGCAAATGGATAAATAAATGAATAAAAAAAAATAAATGAAATGAAATGAAATGAAATGAAATCAAACGAAATCAAATCAAATCAAATCAAATCAAATCAAATCAAAAAAAAGAATAAAAAAAAAATAAATAAAATAAAAAAATAAACAAACAAACAAACAAACAAATAAACAAATTTATTTTTATATCCTACCTCTCGGCTCAAGTAAATTAGCACTGACTTTTTGAGATGAGGTCTGAGTTTGAGGTAGATGAGATGGGTTGGTTCTCAGCTGCATGGGTACAAACTTATCATGTTGTTTATTGATTGGGTTCTCTGGAATTTCTGGGTTGAAATTTAAAGGTCCAGTCACACCACTTGGTTTGCTAACTGTGCGTTCAATGGATCGCCTCAGGGAACTCCTGGAAATTTCATGAAAAAGATAAAGAATTTGAATGAATATATAGTATAGTCTAAAAGGTATGTGGTATTCTAGGTAAATACCAACTGAGCTCAATTTCAGCCATGGATATCACTTTTCAAAAGAAAATCTAACATATAGTTTGTTAAACATCACATGAATGGTAATAGGTATGTTAATAATGTGCAGAGTGTGAAACAAATTTAAATGTGAAACAGCTTGGCATTTCTTGTGATAATTTCCATGTAAAGTAATTGAAAAAAATTTGAAAAATGAAAGTAGACTTTTAAATCTGATGTTTCTACAGAATGAGCTAATGAAAACAAGCAATATCATACACTGTGCAACGGTGTAAATTTTTGTCAGGGCAGCAGCCAGGGCCCTAGCTAGCCCAGGGTCTCAGGGGGGTCAAATATTTTAAAGGGGGGCTAAACTATAGCGACTCAACAAGTCATTCAAGATTTCTAAATTTTTCAGGAGGGGGCCAAAATATTTTTTAGGGGGTGGGGAGGTGGGTTCTCTAGCTACGGGCAGCATAATAAGCAAAGCTCAGTGTTCTTATTTCTAATTCTGCAATAATCCTTACAGGCTAAACGCATACAAAATACTCTACTCTTTTTGCACCTAATAGAACTATTGATTAGTAGTAGTGTGCAATGAAAATTTCTTTTTCTTGAATTGCAACTAGAACTTGCCTACTCTAATAAGTTTGCCATATGGAGAATCGTTAAAACAAAAGTATGCCCATTAGGCTACATATCTGTTGCTATGGTTACTGGGTGTATAATATCTAACCCCAAAAAAGTGAATTGTACAAATAGTACAGAGGTGCTTACTTGGTGAAAATGTGTCTTGCTTATATGCAAAGGAGAATTTGCAAAATTTCAAAAAGATATTGAGGAGAGTCATGGTTTGGAAGTGGCAGGGATGCAGGAATCAAGGGAGATAATAGGTAACCATGGTTTCAAGGAGATATGAAATACCTGTGTGTATTAACAAATGTATTGGCACGTTGTATAAAGGCATTATGGGTATTGTCGGCTGGTGATTGGGTGGTACCACGGAATGCTGGAAGACTGGTCAGCTCTCGTATATAGTCTATTTGTCTGTAATGTGAAAACATGGTGCTCAAACATGTAATGGAATGCCAAACTTAAAGATGGGTTCCCTTATTTTTATTCACGAAAATGAAAATGCTAACATTTATAAATAGAATAGAAAGTAGAAATACCAGTTTGTCTCAAATGTCCATAATTAATTCATAATTAGCTTAATTAGAAGAGAATTACTAGCAGTATTCCAATGAGTGACCGATCCAGAAAGGTCAAAAAGTCTTTTTTTGTTTATCCAGACTGTACATACATCGATATTTATGATTGGTTAAAACTTTTAATTATATGCAATAAGAACATAATGATATGATAAAGAATACATGATAATTCATTAGAATCACCAATTAATCAAAAAGTTTGCTTTATTTGACGATAAAAAAATAAGGAAACCCATCTTTAAAGAACAGTATGCTAACACAAGAAATCTCAATTTCTATGCATTATTCACTTGTAGTGACAGTTTTTCTAAAATTTAAAATAAAATTTTAAAAGAAGCTTTGCTTCATAATTCCTAATATGCTAAAAGCTATGCCAATAGCAATGCTAAAAGCTATGCCAAAAAATATAGAATTAAGTGAGGCAATTCCTTTAAACTGTGCAAATTGTGATGTTAAAGACTTTCAACTTGTGTTTATTAGTGACAAAAAAACATCTTCAAAAGAAAACGGCAAAAAAAAAAGCCATCAAAATCTTCCATAAGATGAAAAATTTAGCAGCAAACGTCAAAATATGGCAACCAACTTCTGCAAAGTAAATTAAATAAAACTTGATAATTGTCTTCAAAATTTGGAAAAAAAGTTTGAAAGAATAATCAAAAAATACCTTCGATTCCGATGATTTTCTGCAATTTCATTGGCTGATTCCTTCAGTGAAGGTTGGTGGGGTATGCTCCACGATTTTGACACTTCACCTATACTGTTTCTACCTCCTTCTAGATATTGCTGACTAGGCAGAGTTGGCTTTGGCAAGCTTGGCTTCCTGTCTCTGTTTGGCATCTCAGAATGGTTCTCAGGTACCAAATCCTTATCTTCGTACAAAATGTCTGAGTCCAAAACGACAGGTACGTCTGGATCAGGTTGGGAAAGTTTCGCTTTGATTGGAGATTGGTGTGTCACTGCCATGGTAACAGGCTTTGGTCGATCAAATTTGAAAGTTAGACTTGATTTATTATTAGAAACTACTACTGCCCGTCCGATTGGTTTCCGAGTCCAGGCTCCACTTGTTTTTAATCTGTAATCCAGTTCGGTAGGTCCGGAGTCACCTTGGATTGAAACATAGCTCACTGTGACTGGAAACATGCTCTTCATCAAGTTTGGATAACGATCTGTTAGCTTCCGATGAATTTGCGAAGTATCCTTTGGTAAGGACGTTGAAAAACTTGATCGTCTGTTCTCAATTTTCGGTTTCTGCTGGACTGTATTTGCATTCGATTCCCTTCGTTTTTCTGTTTGAGGTGCTTTGATTATTGCTTTTGGTTTCTGAAAGGAAATTTGAAAAAAAATGCAAAATATACTGATTTGTGACATGTTTGTCTCTTTTGAAAGCAAACTAAGTTTTTCATGAAATTTTGCAGAAGTAGAAACAATGATCAAAGGAATTCCAGCCTATTTGTTAGCAGCAGCTAATGAGAGAGGCAATTTCTATTTAACATCAATAAAATCCACCTTATAATTGTGAATACAATAGACATGTTTGTATGATGTGCAGTCTTTAAATATCTTAATGTATCTTTAAATAAAACATTTCAAAATGGTGCAGATTATGTCAATAAAATCACACTGGTCATCATATTGTGTGATTTGTGGTTTTCATCTCAAACAGTGCGCACAAAAACTTCAGTGTACAAATTGTTAAATTCACACTATTATCTTATGTCCATAAAATCGAAGAAAATAATTAAAACTTTATTCATTATATAGTTTTTGAAGTTCTAAAAATAAAAAAAATAAACAATTAAAAAATTTGAATGAATGATTCTTAAATAATAAACAAATTGTTATCTAAAATAAAAAAAATAATAAAAAAAAAAATAAAAAATAACAAAAAAAACTAAATAAAAAAAAAAAAAAATATAAATAAAATATAAATAAATATAAATAAATAAAGACATAAATAAAATAAATATAAATAAATATAGACAAATATAAATAAATATAAATAAATATAAATAAATATAAATAAATATGAATAAACAAATAAAAATAAATATAAATAAATATAAATAAATATAAACAAATAAATAAACATATATAATTATATATCAATAAATATAAAAAAATAAAAAAATATGAAATGAAATGAAATGGCTAAATAACATGTTTCAGGTTCTGTTTAATTTTTTCTAAATCAATAAACAAATAAAAACAGGTCAAATATTTAAAATATACCTAAATACTAAAATATTAATCTGAATTTGAAGTTAAATAAATAATTAAATAAATATAATATATAAATAAATAAATAAATAAATATAATATGAAAATAAATTTTTTATTTCTTTAAATTCTAAAATTGAAATTATGTCATATTAGAGTAATGTTATAAAAATAGATTTCTACAGACCGTGCCACTCTATAAGTCACTCTACAACTTTACCCCATTCCCTACTGACCGAGTTATAACTAGGAGTTCCTGCAAGCACTAGTTTGAGATAGCGTTTTGGTCCAAGATCTGCAGTTGAACGTTGACACACCTTGATTTCTGCTGTCTGGTGATTGACGTCAGTTGACGTCGTTGCTGCTGTTTTACTTGATGTTTTGGACACAACACTGCTGGTACCTGTAACAAAAAAAGTGATCTGAGACATGTGCAGTGTACAATGAGGGAAATTTTTCAGTGACAGCTGCGTTTTGGCATTTGCTAGTACTTGCTAGTTGATGATTTTTTCAAAATCATGCATTCTCAGTGAAAATTCAAATGCCCGGTGGGGAATTTCTAAAATCAACAACCCTGATCTTCACTGAGTTTACACTCACCTGAGTCTGGTCTGACTTGAATGTCACTTGAACCACCTCCTTTGACCTATATAACAAGAAACAAAATTCTGGTTCAGAAAATTACCAAATATGTCTTATATGAGGTTTCAAGCAGTAACACACAATATATATCTAAAATCTAAAAAAAATCTGTTTCCATAAAAAAAATTATACAAGAAAGTTAGTAAACAGCACTCAGAGCTCTCGGCAGAAAGTCTGTACCTGCGTTTGCAGAGTTCTATGATTTTAGTATTTACCAAATTTTTGTTGCCACTGTGGATTCTAGTTTTAATATCACCAACAGACCGTCGTTTTTTAGTGACCGGTGGTGGTTTAGGATTGGTTGTAGTCTGGGAAGTATCTTCTGATATAGAATCGCGACTTGGAGGCTGATAAAGTGGAGCTCTGGAACCGTCATCTGTTAAAATGGCAGAATTTCAAGGTAAAATGGAATTATCATAATTTTTCAATTTCATCAAAGTTTAACATTGTACAAACCATTACATAAACTGTGGACGTACATACATGCCTTAAATGAAAAATATAGTTGTCCTGACGAGGATTGTGTAACCAAAACACATGTTGGCAGCATGAGATGAGCTCTAATCAGTTATATATGAGTTGAAAGTCCTCGTACTATAGAATATTCTTGTCGATTTCTGACTGATGTTCAGTGAGTTAGTTTACTTTTTTTGTATCTGATACACATTGCAGCTTGATTAACAATATATAGTCACTTACATTCATCTTTAGCAGTACGTTTTTTAGTTGGTTTACTGTCGAATTTACCTTCACTAGTTACGGCTATAACCTACAAATATTTGTGATGTTTAATTTTGGATATAAAATTAATATTTTGACTGTATTCAGATTAAAATTTTGAGTCGTTTTCATTAAAAGTTTTGTTAATTTAAAGGGATAATTCCCTCATTTTCGAGGGGTTGAATTGGGTCTTTAAAATATATGTAAATAGTCTTCAGAAAAAATAGAAATGTACGAAAAATCGCATAATCCCTCAAAAATTCCTGGTCATTTTAACATTCAAACGCAGATAATTCTGGACACACATGGTTTCGAAGACTCAAATTGACAGTGAGCTTTTAACACTATTACTGATTGACTTAGCTAAAAAAAATTTCCTGTTTCTAAGACTAAAGTGTGATTGGTCAAAAAGATCGCAAATCTGTCCCTTTATAATGTATATTTCTATGGACCAAAAGACATTCTAAGACTAATGGCGTTTTATTTTGAATACTTGTGAAATGACAGAAAGAAATCAGAAGGAGAAAAAGGGAGGCTACTTACAACAAAAGTGTATTCTGTGTCTGGCGTCAGTCTGTGAACAGAGCACGATAAATCTGTACCAGAGTGAACAGTCTTTCCGTTCATACTGACATCATATCTGGTGATGCGTCCTAAAGGAACTTCAGGACTAGCCCACGACACATGTACCTCATTACGTCCTAAAACAGTGACGTTTGGTTTGGATGGAGCGTGGGCCCCTATCTCAGCTGTGGTCCCTACCACGGAAGATTTCTCTCCCTTGCCTTTTGATGTTGCTGCACAAACCTTTAAAAATGAAATAAAAGTTGAGCTTTATGTTTGGGACTGTGTGCAATGAGGGTAAATTTGCCAGGAAATTGGAACGGTCAGAAGATGCAGAAAGCTGATTGAAAACTTTGCATGTGCAGTGCACACTTTCTTTGCCAACCCATCCAAATAGCACAGTCAGTCAGTAGTGAGTTGGACTGTCGTCTACTAGTCGATTGAGTGACATGGGTTTGAATCCTCCTCAAGGTAAGAAAAATTCAGATGCTTGTGTCATTGCTCCTGAAAGTCAGCCCAGTGTCGGCTCTCAACCTCTTAATACCTTAGACCAAGGGAAGAATATCCAAGGAACGTTCAAAACAATGCCCATCTCCATTAGTGACTAAGTGAGCAACTCACTGACCACCTAAAGTTCTGATTGAATAAATGTCCATACCTCTATAGTATACTGTGTGTTGGGAGACAGACCAGTTACAATACAAGTTACATCAGTAGTGAACTCTGGTGGTTTACTTCCTGTACCGAAAGAGAAAATAACTCTAGGCTAATAACAGAGTTAAAAATAACTGTAATCACACATGTGTGTTCACATTTACACAAACAAACCAAATCAAGAAGCCTATTGATTGGCCCGTTTGAAAATTATGTGACATGAAAAAACTGTAAACTGTACCTTGGTAAACATAATAGCCTTTAACTGTCCCATTACAAACATTGGGTGGATCCCAGCCTATCTTTAGTTGAGTTATTGTACAACCCAATACTCTAATGTTAGTAGGAGGACCTGGTGCTGGAAAAATAACAGAAGAATCTTTACTGTGTCTCACTACCTTTTCCTGGAAAACCATGTCTGAAGGACCTGTAAGAGTTGCCCCCCTTTATGGTGAGACTGGACCTGGAGCCTAGTCTGCAAGCATCATAATTGCTGAATCACTTTGCAAAAAGTATCATGAGCGCTTAAAAACTTAAAACTTAAGCGAGCCACTGTGTCACAAATTTTCAAAAATGTTTGGGTGCTTGAAAAATTGATGGCGTATCTAGTTTTTACTGACTCTATCATTGCTGACATCTGTCAAATCTGAGAGTCCTAAAGGTTGGAAAAGAGCCAACATGATTCAGATTAAAACAAACCTCCTTCTAGAGTTGTAGCGAAAACAGAATCAGAGAATGGACTTTCATCGTTTTCAGTGAAACATTGTAGTTTAAAGCTATATTTAGCATTAGGTTGTAGACTCTCTACAGTACAGGTACAACTTGAACCTTTATAAACACTATGATTCCCTGAAAAACAATTTTTTTTGTTGAAATCATTCTTTGTTAAAAAACAGGCCTGATTTTCGAAAACTTAACCGGAATCGTAATTTTTAAAGATACAGTAAATTAATTGAATAATAACACTGAAGATGTCTTTTGTATAAGGCTACAGGATTGAAGTTAATGGGAGCCAGGCTACCCTTGAATAATATTTTGAAATAGAAACCCCCACCCTCCTGAGACCTAGGGCTACTATTCCAGAAAGTTAAGTAAACATATGCCACATCCTTTTTTAAACTCCCGGAAATTATAACATATGCTACCATGTTTCCCTTTAGCAGGTAAATCTTGTAATCTTACCTTCATAGACCTGGTAATGAACTTCTAGACGACTTTTAGGTTTGATTTCATCCCAATAGACTTTAACTATACTGCTATCTAATGCTGGAAAATACAGATCTTGTTTGAGACTCAGCTATCTGTTTCCAGATAAAATCAACCAAAACAATGCAACAGAAATATTTTGTGCTTTGATTTTAAAGAGGTGAGTTATACCAAGCTAGATTGCCTCGTGTTTTATTTTTTATGTAATTAATTTAGGGTAGTGATAATCCACAAACCTTCAACATTTGGTGGGTTTGGTTTATCCAGTCTTTTTAATATATCTAGAGTTATCTCCACTTCTTCCTTTAAATCAGGATTAATGTCTTGATTGGCTACTGTCGTCTGAAGAGGAAATATATTTTTCTTTTATATTTTTGGCAAAGTCAGCAAAGTCAACAAAGTCCGAAGAGTCAAAGATATTCTTTGGCACTGAAACATGTGCAACCTCTAGAAGATTTTATCTTCAAATGGAGGTGAAATCCTGATCTTCAATCTCTTATTTTGAATAAAATAAAATAATAAATTTGTAAGGGGGGTAACTCTACCTTTAAAACTGATATTAAAGGCTGATTTTCCCTGAGTTTAACACAGCCTTTAGGTTGACTTGATAATGTTCTTATAGTCCTATAATAACAATTATTTGTAGTTATTGTATACTGTATATTCTTGAATACAACGCGCACCTTTGTATAACGCTCATAGAAATAAAAAGGTGATGATGCAATTGGTACTAAGATTTCATGCTTTGAGATTTTGTGAATTGACCTTGAAAAATATGTCAAGGTCATCACCACGGAAACTGACAAAATATTCTAATGACTTACATTGCAGAAAACCACCCTGTCTCGCTGTCTTCTGATTTCAATAGATTGGATAAGACTGATATCATTTCATCTATATGAGGATTTCGTAGCAGACGTCCGTGTCCTGCACAACTTGTTGCTAAGCAACTGAGAGCAAAGCAAGCATTTTTACTGGCTCCTAGATCTTGACAACTTAACATCTTGGCCAATGAAGAAATCTGAAATGGGGTGGAACAGTGGTAAGATAACAGACATGCACATAATTTCTACCCTACAAAGATATCAGTGCACATTTGGGGATGCTTTAAAGCACAAACATAAGCAGTCCACTTTATTTATCGGTAGTTTAAGTGGTAATGAACACATTATCAGACTAGCTTGAATGTTTCAATCACTATTTATTCCACCTCAGAACAAAATAGACTCTTCTTGTATATGTATTTAGAAATGTCCAAGTAGATATTTTTGTTCCACGCATAATTTGTCAAAATTTGTACAATAATAAATAAACCACTTTTTTATGCTCCCTTTCTAGTCTTACCATTTTATCACACTCAGATAAAGCTAATAGTCTTTCTCTACCAATATCCATATCACTCAGTCTACCTATAGCAAACGCTGCATTCATTCCACGCCCTACAACAAGAAATCACATAACTTCACAATTATTCTGTTGCTGCAGTCATTAGGCCTCTTGGATAAATGGGAAACAAGAAATTTCCAAGTAGAAAGGCAGTGAAATCCATTTCAAAATTTCATGAACTGCATTCATTAGGCCTCTTTGATAAATGGGAAAAAAGATTTGTCCAACAATGAATGTTGTGATTTTTTCCTTTTTTCCACTTGTTCTCATTCTGACAAATGAAACGTGACATTTTCATTTGATTGTAGGTGAACAGTAAGCAATTTTATAGATGATCTGTACCACAGGTTGACTTGCTCAGTCTGTCCCTGTATTGTAAGAAAGGTAGCAACATACCTGCTTCGTCAGTACCAAGGGAGGTAACTAACTGTGTTAAAATATGTAATGAAGATGGATGATCCAGTATTTTATTGCACCCTTCTTCTGATATAGAAATCCTAACAAAATACACATAGAATTTGTAAAATGGGTATGGGGCCCAAACTTTTTAGGGGGTTTTCATAAACTGCCTGAAGCAATTCTCAACCTTATATTGTGAAGCCTGAGAAATACTGTTGTTTTGGAAAATTTAAATGATTGCTGTCAATAGAAATTTGCCGCACATGGTCATTTTTGGTCATTAGTCATGCCCACACATCAACCACCCCTCAAGTAGGTTTTTCTAGATGAGATTGCCAAAACCTTGCCATATAAAAGATATATCAAACAAACAATAAAAGCTATGTGGACTCTCAAAAGGGATGCCAAGGGGACAAACCCAGTTGCAGAGTGGTATCAGGTATAGTAAATGATTTTCATTCTTACCTAGCTAGAACTAAAGCGGCATTACTAGCAGTCCACATATTCTCGGTATGTAATAAAACTGTACTATGATCTAACATTGTATTGAAACATTCTGTAGATAATATCCAGTCTCTTCCTTGAGGACTTTCAGCCTGTTGAAGAAAGGTAAGGAAAAGGTTCAGGGAAATTCAATCATTGAACTATCTTAAAGGGATTGTAAAGAGGTTTTCTAAATTCTTTACGTGTATCAGGAACACTGATAGCTTCAATTTGCACCATTCCAATTTTCAATCAGACATCTGTGGTTCCTGAAATTCCACTAAAACTAAATGTTTGATGATGTCACTAAACGTGAAATATACTTTATCACATTAAGCTCTTCGCAATTAGTGACGTCATCAGATAATAGTTGACGGTCTCTGTAGTGCAGAATTTTCGCATTGATTTCTTGCTCCTGTGCAGTGAGCTCTTTTTCTTCATTAAATATCCATGTTGCATAAATTATTGTTGGGCATGTTATAGAGCTAATAGAATCATGGACCTGTGGGCAATGAGGGAAACTTGTCTCTTAATCTTCAGTATCAACTGATTTTACTAGGTTTTAAACAGACAAGAACTCATTTCTTGCTGCCGACACAGGTTTGGGATAAACAATCCTCATCAGGACTGCTTAATAAGAATTATGATTTAAATCTTTCCACAATTGGACTTATATAAGACATATGATCAAAGTAAGACAGTTGCAGGATAGACCGTACCGGTGATCGGTGGAATTTCTACTTTTAAAAATCGTTACTCACCAAAGTTCCCATGGTGCCAGCAGCATTCATTACCGATTCTGAATCATCAAATGCCAACATACGGGTTAAGTTTGGTAATATCTGTTCACTCTCTGATCTGCCAGAGTGAGCCAGAGCCAGAACTCTGTAACATCCCAGCTCTGACTCTGCCAGAGTACCAATAATGTATGCAGCATTTCCAGCAACTCTGAAATAGGAAGAAAATTATCTTTATGAACAATCCAAGAGTTCAATTCCTCCATTATTGGGAATTAAAAAAAAACATCTCCACTCTGACTTTGGCAGAGTACCAATAATATATATATTAAAAAAAGGTATGTGAACTCTCTATTCCAAGGATTTTTTTTTAAATATAAGTAGCTTATACTTCATTGATTTTTTCTGATCTGTCAAATTGAAATCTGTAAAGAACAAGAAATTAGTGTATCAACTCAAGTGTATGTCAAGGGTTGATCTATGTCTGACCCATACACCTTCTTGAGACTCTGGAGTGCTCACCTTGTAATGTCTTCTCCCAATAAATAAACAAGTCCCCAGAGGAAATCCTCTGAGCCAGAATGACACAGAAAGGAGCTGATCGTTTTCTCTTTTTCTGTATGTAGGTCATCAACCAATTTTTCAAGTGCAAGGTGCGATTCTTTATTTTTTCTAAGTAAATCAGGAAAATAATCCGATTTTTTCCAATTTAACGCCATTTTAGTCGGCTATATATGGCTACCTAGACGATTTCTAATCATTTTCAGGATTCTTGAACTTTCAGGCACTTCAATTTTGGCACTTTTAAGTGAAACATAACTTTTACTTTCATTTGTTTACATCGTTTCCAATGTTGGAGGCCATTACTTTACAACTCTCGTATGGCGGGATAACACGAGACTTTATGAGATTCAAGATGTCTGCGCCCAGAAAATGTCAAAAAAGTTCAAGAAAAACTTTCTTTTCAATATAGTTTCGACATATATATAAGTAAGGCTTAGATTTTTACCCAGAACAACTCACAATGGTGCTGAGATCGATTATGTGTCAAAATGTGTCTAAAAATTCCCAAACTCTTTCCTGAATAACCATGACTCACACTTTGTAAAAAAAAGCCCCCCCCCCCCTTCTTTTTTAAAGAAAACTTTTGTTATGTCTTTATAGCGGGGAAGGGTTGACCAATTAGTTTGCTATCTGTATAAAAATTGTATTAAGAGACAATCTCATCACATGATTTCATGTGAAATATAAATTTACTCTGGAATGGTAATGTGAAATAGACTGTGTAGGTTATAATTGATTTATTTCACTATTGCAGATAATGAAGTACAAATATGGGTAATTATAAATCAAGACCTACCCATTCCTGTGTTGGTAAGTTTTTGAATTCTAAGACATTTCTCCTGTCAAAAATTAAATTGATAGTAATTCTGCCATATATGTTCAGATAGCAAATGTTTAGTAGTGCTTTGCTGTTTTCATATGAATACATGACTGCAGACGAAATGAAATGGATTTTGATAACTGTAGCAGGCGTGTTATTAATGTGGCCTCAAAACAGACTTCTTATTACCGTATTAGCTTATTGTCATCATATTTTTCTATGTATTATTACAGATGAACTAAAGAAGAAAATCAGTGAAAGCTATGCTTTGTTCCGATCTAAAGCTATAGAAGATTTACGTCCTAGAGACTCTGAATGGTCTGAATTACAACTAGCTTGTAGGTCAGTATCAAAATCTTTAATCTTCATTCTGAATAAGAAACATCAAACATTAATGAGTAACCTGGAAATATCATTATGTATAAACATAACAATATAGGTTAAGGATCTTGCCTACCAGCTGGTCCATGGTTAACATTGATGTTGATCTATCGGTTTATGGCTAAACAGGATAGTTTAGAATGACAAGGAAAGATGACTTATTTAATTTTGTGCCAGTTCTGAGTGTTCTCTAAGACAACAGAAAAGTGGAACAGAAAGACAAATCAAAGATTCAACATAACTTTTTGAAATATGCTGTGAATTTCAAGTCATTTATTTCATTCTTTGACTGGAAATGGAATCTGGATCAGTGCACTTTCTGAGGAGATCAAACAGTACGAGGAAATGCCAATGCAAGTCTTTAACTGCCATTTTGTTAGATCTTCTAGTTTGTCTTTCCAGTCGTGGTGATATAGTTAAAGTAAGACGATTATTAGATGATGAAGATATCAATGAGAAAACTGATACTGGATTAAGTTTATTACATATTGTCTGTATATCAGGAGGTAGGCCAACATTTTTAGATCTGTTTCAAATGAAATGGAGTATTACACCCTATGTCTATATCCGTTGAGGGCAACTTTGCAACACTCTTGAGCAATCCTTATGGATGGGTTTCCTTTTTTTTATAATCAAATTAAGCAAACTATTCAATATATCAGTGTTTCTACTTAACATCATGTATTCTTAATCATATCATTATGTTCTTATTGCATATAATTAAGAATCTTAACCAATCATAAATGTCCATGGATGTACAGTCTGGATAAACAAAAAAAGACTTTTTAACCTTTCTTGATCGGTCACCCATTGAAATTCTGCTGGTAAATGAATTAATTATGGACATGTGAGACAAACTGGTATTTTTCCAAGCCATTAGAACACCTCTACTTTCTATTCATATAAGTATTAGCATTTTCATTTTCATAAATGAAAATAAGGGAACCCATCTTTTACATGTACAGTTTATAGCGCATAGGACCTCAGTTGATTGTCCAACTGGATGCTGTTTTATGTCAACCTTCACATAGAGTCTGTTACCCATGAAGAGTTGCTGTTTTATGGGTGTATGCTATTTCAACCTTGCTTGCTTGATAAAGGTTTTGATTTTTTTTTATTTTGACAGTGGGACGTGATTTGGTTGATTTGTTGTTAAAGAGAGAATGTAAAATAGTCCTCAGTAAAAATCAGTTTTCACCTCTCCATTTAGCTACTTATAAGGTAAGATCATTCATTTTTGTCCTTTCCAAAGTCTTGTGGTTGTGTTTGGATTGTTTTTTTTCAATTTTGGGCTAAGGAGGATGGTGAATGCCATGCAGTGTGCAATGAGAAATTTTTCCAAGACAGCAGCAATAGGGCCTAGCCTACTCTTGTTCAATTTCCAACTGTCGAGAAAAATTTGTGTATTTGAAAATCAAGGGGAGTAAACCTTGGTTCCAATTCACCAATAAAGATAGTCTTTAATATTTTTCAGGGTGACCTTGAAGTAGTAGAAGCATTATTAGCAGGTGGCGCTGATGTCAACCTCCCTGGCAATAGTGATGTCACTTCCTTCCATATTGCAGCTATGTGTGGCCATCATGAGGTACGGTAACAAACATTTCCCTTGAATAAAGCTTAATGAATAACCTAAATGTCTAATGCCCAAAAGTGATGAGAGTTGAAGAGGTAATGGCAAAATGCATTCAGCCATTTTTTATTGGATATCCATAGACCTGTAACGTACAGTTTAAAAATGTTTTCGTCCATTTTCAGATTTTTAAGATATTACTAGATTATGGTGGTAAAATAAATCTAGCAGACGCTGTTAAATTCTCTCCACTTCATATAGCATGCTATTTTGGTCATGAAAAGGTAAGTTTCCTGTGTCATTCGAGAATTTGTTTCCAACATGGCTGCCACTTGTGCCTTGCAGATTGGAGAATCTCAAATGGTTGATGGAGCAGACTATTAAACTTTGGCTATATTAGTAGTTTACAAAAGAAAGATTTAAGAAGTGTAATAGATTTATGAAGCTAAATTCAACATGGCTGCCACATTTAAAATTTTCAGATCATAAAAATTCAAGTAACCATGGCTACATAAGTAGTTTAGACATGAATGATTTCAGAAATGTAATAGATTTATGAAAAATCCAAAATGGCTGCCGCATTTGAATTTTTCAGATAGTAGAAACCCTAGTAACAAATGGTGCTGACATCAACATTAGTGGTGGAGTTGGTGATCGTCCTCTTCACCTAGCTTGTGCTAAAGGAAATCTAAAAATAACTCAGTTATTGGTAGAGGGCAACACTCAGCAGAAGGCTGATGGTAAGTTTTAAAAAGATTCTTTCAGACTCGACTATGACTGGAAATACACAAATTTTATCAAATGAATAAAGCATAGAGTTGGCTTTGTGATGTGTAAAATTTGGAATTGGATTTTAGATTCTTCATTAACAAGCATCAACCTTTTTTTTTGATGATCAAATCCTAGTAATTTTTTGTAATAATGGTGTAACAGATTAGTAAGGTGTCTTTCTGCAGCCATCTTGAATCGTTTACTTGAAAGGTAATATGGACAAAGTCACAAACGTTAAAAGTTACAATTGTTTCAGTTAATATGAAAGATGATGAAGAACATAGGCCGATACATTTCTGTTGTAAGGGAGGTAATCTAGTCATACTACATTATTTATTAGAACATCGGGCTGATCCTCACGTCTGCAATATATATGGTGATACTCCATTACATCTGTAAGTTATCTTCCTTGATTTCTCTATGCCTCTAGTTTTTCCTAAAAAAATTTCTCAATGCACACTGCGTGGCGTTGCCTGTCTTCATCAATCAAATAGTTGATTTGTTTCAATGTTTGATTGTCCTGAACATTGCTTGCTTGTACGGATTTTGATTAAATTTATGTTTCAAAATATTTAACAGGGCTTGTTACAATGCTAAAACAGAAGTAGCTAGACAGTTAGTTACATTGACTGGTACAGAGAGCTTAGATAAAGAAAATGTCTTCAGTGAAACACCATTACATAGGTAAGCATAATGTCCAAACCAAATATTGCCAAAAGTTTCAAAGAGTCAAATGATGTCATGAAACACTTGGTTTTAGTGGAATTACAAGAACCACAGACATCTGATTGAAAATTGGAATGGTGTAAATTGATGATATCAGTGTCCTCACTACACTTAGAAAGCAAACCTCTTTACAATCCCTTAACATAAATGACAGTCCAAATGTTGGACTTGGTTTTCCATGAATATTTCTGTGAGCTAATTATTTTTTAAAATGTCTTTCCTTGCAGTGCCTGTACCAATGGTCGTAGTCTAGAATTAGTCAAATATTTACTGGAACAACCAGAAGTTGATATTAACTATCAGGGGAAAGATGGTCACACAGGTAAAAACATTGCACAATTCTTAAAGCTAACCTGAAGTTTTAAAGCTAGGATGGATGAAATATTTTTTAAAGCTAACCTGAAGTTTTAAAGTTAGTACAGATTGTAAAATATGTTTTTTAAAGCTAACCTGAAGTTTTGAATTTAGGACAGGTTGTAAAATATATTTCTTAAAGCTAACCTGAATTTTTAAAGTTAGACAGATTGTAAAATATATTTCTTAAAGCTAACCTGAATTTTTAAAGTTAGACAGATTGTAAAATATATTTTTTAAAGCTAACCTGAATTTTTAAAGTTAGACAGATTGTAAAATATATTTTTTAAAGCTAACCTGAATACTTAAGGTTCAAACTCAATTAATTTTCAGCGTTACACAGTGCCTGCTATCACGGCCATTTTCGTGTTGTACAATATCTCCTGGAATCTGGTGGTGATATGAATTTAGTTGCAGCAGTCAGCGATCAAAATGGCGGCAGTGAAAAGCGTGAAGAACAAACAGCTTTAATGTGGGCGTATGAAAAAGGTAGGCTGTCTTATTTTTAAACTTCACAAGTGCTTCCAGGCATG